TCCTCCCAGCGGGAGGGCGCCCTCCCCACCGAGCAGTCTGCCCGGAGTCCCTCCTGCTGCCGGGCCGGGGGCTCAGCACGGCCTCGGGGGCGGGGCCGGGGGCTGGGGGCCGGGGGGGCCGGGGGCCGGGGGGGCCGGGGGGCCGGGGGCCGGGGGCCGGGGGGTGCAGCACGGCCTCGGGGCGGGGGCCGGGGGCTGGGGGCCGGGGGGCCGGTGGGGCCGGGGGAACGGGGGCCGGGGGCTCAGCACGGCCTCAGGGGCGGGGCCGGGGGGCTGGGGGGCCGGGGGGCCGGGGTGCCGGGGGGCCGGGGCCGGGGCCGGGGGCCGGGGGCCGGGGGGCCGGGGGTGGGGCCAGGGGCTGTGGGGCCGGGGGGCCGGGAGGCCGGGGGGCCGGGGGACCAGGGGCCGGGGCCGGCCGTGACGCGCCTGCCCCCCCAGGTGATCTACATGGGCCGGAACCCCCGGGACGTGGCCGTGTCGCTGTACCATTACTCCAAGATCGCGGGGCAGCTGAAGGACCCCGGCACCCCCGACCAGTTCCTGCAGAACTTCCTCAAAGGCGAAGGTGAGCACGGGAGCCCCGGGGAGGAGGACAGAGGAGGGAGAGAGAGAGAGAGAGAGAGAGAGAGAGAGAGAGAGAGAGAGAGACAGAGGGAGCGAGGGGATAGGAGACCCGGAGAGAACCAAAGGCGCCGGCAGATGCAGAAGCAGCAGGGAGCGAGCCAGAGAGTCCGAGGGCCAGAGACAGAGAGGGGGACAGAGACACATGCAGACAGAGAGACACATGCAGACAGAGACAGAGAGACAGAGAGACAGAGAGGGGGACAGAGGGACACATGCAGACAGAGAGACAGAGAGACAGAGACAGAGATAGAGGGACATGGGGCACCAGGGGATGGGGGGGGGGGGCATCCAGCTCCGAGGGGCCAGGTCTGGGCCGCGTGGGGCCAGTCAGGCCCTGGGAGCGGCCGCGGAGGCCGGCTGCCCGGCCCTCACCCCCCCGCCCCTCTGCCCGCAGTGCAGTTCGGCTCCTGGTTCGACCACATTAAAGGCTGGATTCGGATGCAGGGCAAAGAGAACTTCCTGTTCATCACCTACGAGGAGCTGCAGGAGGTGATCCCCCTCCCCCCATCCCTCCTCCCCCCTCCCCCCCGCCCCGCACCCCACCTGGCCCAGCACCCCCACTCCTCCCCTCCTCTCGCCCCCCACCCCCTCCCGAAGGCCGCCTCCACTGTGACGCACCAGGTCCTGGGCGACAGCCATGAACAGAACCGGGTCCGAGGCCGGAGCAGGAGAGGGACCAGGGACAGAGATAAAACAGGGGTGAGGGGCCGAAACCAGTGTGGCTCAGTGGATAGAGCGTTGGCCTGCGGACTGAAGGGTCCTGGGTTCGATTCCAGTCAAGGGCATGTACCTTGGGTGCGGGCACACCCCCAGTTTGGGGTGTGCAGGAGGCAGCTGATCGATGTTTCTCTCATCGATGTTTCTAACGCTCTGTCCCTCTACCTTCCTCTCTGTGAAAAAAACAATAAAACATATTATTAAAAAGAGAGAGCACGGGAGGGAGAGGGAGAAACTGGGAGAGAGAAACATTGATGTGAGAGAGACACGTCGATTAGCTTGCCTCCTGCTCTTGCCCTACCAGGGATGGAGCCTGCGACCCAGGTACATGCCCTTGACCGGAATCAAACCCAGGACCCTCCAGCGGCTCTGCCCACTGAGCCACACCGGCGAGGCTGTCCCCGGTTTAGAGGAGGGAGTCGGGAACCTGTCCGGGAGGGCGCAGGGCTCCTCCTTGTAGCTCTGTCTCCTCCGGGTGAATTGCTCCTGATGGAAAGACTCCCCTCCCACCACCCGGCCCCCCAGAAGATTCCGGCACCGCCCCTCCCCCTCCCATCCACCCCGCTTTACTCTCCAAACCCAGAACTGGGCCACGCAGGAACGGCCAGCATGCTCGGCGTTCTGGGACGAGTCTGTGGTTCAGGAAGATAACCGGGTGGGCGGTTACGAAACCAGGAAAGACCTGGAAAGCCGAGGCGGGGGCTGGCGGGGGCTGGCCGCGGGGTGCAGGCCGAGGAAGGCAGCTGCAGGGGGAGGACTGCGGGCTCGGGGACCCGGGCACGGGGCTCCCGCTCTGGGCCTGGCGGGCGGGTCCCGGACCCTGACTCCTCCCGCAAGGCCCTGGGCAGGACCGGCCAGACGGCCCGGCGGACGTGGGCCGGGGCGTGTACACAGCGGGCGCTCCATCCAGGGTGGCCTGAGCCGGTAGTCACCGGGAGGGAGACGTGCTCTGCACCGGAGGGGGGAGGTCTGCCAGGGGGCGGGGGGCCCAGGAGGAGGGGTGGGGAGCACCTGACCTTGGAGGTCGGGCCGGGGGACGGGAAGGGTCTCAGGGCCTCAGGAGCAGGCTCGGGCCTGGTGTGGGGACGGGAGGTGGGGAGGCAGGGAGAGGCCCGGACAAGCGTCCACAGGAGAGAATCGGGCCTGACCAGTGCCCGGGCTACGGGGACGCAGAGGGGACGTGGCAGAGAGAGCCCAGGCAGAGGGAAGGAGCTGATGGCGGACAGGACAGGGGTGCGCGGTGTTCCCAGCTCTCTAGCCCTCTCCGTTCCTCTCTGATTTGAACCTGGGACCCTTCGGTCTGTGGGCCGATGCTCTGACCACTGAACAACACCGGCTAGGGGCATGGGAGTCTGTTTAAACATTCGAATGCTGCGTTAAGGCCCTGCCAGGGGTGTGGGCGGGAAGGGGAGCGGCGGGAGGCCCGGCTAGGAGTGCGGCCGGCCCTGCGACCGGTGAATCTGGGGCTGTTCTGGGCTGAGGACCTGGGGGAGGCGCAGGCTTGGGGCACAGACCGGCTGACGCCCCGTTTCTAACCTGGAGGAGGAGGATTCTACATAAGGTGCTGGACTGCCCCCTGCCCGGTGCGGTGACCTCTGACCCCTGCCCTCCCACCCACAGCACCCGCCCAAATCCCAAACTGCAGAGCCCCCTCAGAGGCCAGAGCCCAACCCCTTGGAGGTGGGGAAACTGAGGCAGAGACAAGTCTGGGTTGAGACTCTGACATCCAAATTCTGGGTCTGGTGTTCCTTCCTTGCCTGGGTCCCCTCCTTTCGCCGTCCCCCTTCCCCACCCCCCGTTCTGCCTTCCCCCCTGCCCCCTCTCACGCTGACCCCCCTCCGCCCCAGGACCTCCCCGGCGCGGTGCAGCGCGTGTGCCGGTTCCTGGGCCGGCAGCTGGGCGAGGAGGCGCTGGGCTCGGTCGTGGCGCACTCGGCCTTCGACGCCATGAAGGCCAACACCATGTCCAACTTCTCGCTGCTGCCGCCCAGCCTGCTGGACCAGCGCCGCGGCGCCTTCCTGCGGAAAGGTACGGACCCCGCGCGTTCCCCCGCCTCCCTGGGCCGGTTTCCCCGGTAACCGGGGGGCCTCCCCCCAGAACGCCCTCACTGCGGCCCGTGGGCCCGGGGTGGACCCCACACACAGGCTCACCTCGGGGGACACAGCAGGTGCCCGTCACCCCGGGCCTCCCCGAGCCCCCTATACCCTCCTCCCCCCAAGCTGTATATGGAACAAAAGGCCACAGCCAGCTTCGCACCACGGTTGGCTATTTATTTAGTTATTTGTTTGTTTTTGTTGTTGTTAATCCTCACTGGAGGATATCTTTCCATTATTTTTAAATAGTTACCGGTATCACTTATTTATTTTTATTTTCAAATATATTTTTATTGATTTCAGAGAGGAAGGGAGATAAGAAACATCAGTGATGAGAGAGAATCTTTGATCGGCTGCCTCCCGCACGCCCCCTACTGGGGATCGAGCCCGCACCAGGCTGATGCTCTACCCACTGAGCAACACCGGCTTCGGCTAGATAGATTTTTTTTAACAATAATAATCAATGGAAAAAATATCCTCGGATGAGGATTAGCAATAACAACAACATAAAAAAAATCAACCTTCCCCTCGGGTGAGGATTTAAAAAAAGAAAAGAAGGAACTTGAGGCTGGGGGCTGTGGTAAACCTCGGGGCCCAGGCGCGGCGCTGAGTGCGGGGAGCAGCGTGGGCCCGCAGTGGCGGGGGCAGAGCCCGGGCCGCAGACGCCCTGCGGGGGCCCCTGCTCGGTGCCAGGCCGCAGAGGGAGCGCCCGGGGCTGGGCACGGTGTGCAGATCGCCGGATGGGGTGGGGCTGGGGGTGGTCTGGGCAGAGACTTAAGGGGTTCGGGGTGAAGTGGCGGAAGGTCAGAGGTCTGCTGGCGGGGTGAGCAGAGCAGGGGGGACCCCAAAGAGGGAGGAGGCAAGAACGGTGCCCGGGTCTGCCAGGTCCAGGCGGCCGGGGTGAGTCAGCAACCGCGGGAGGGGGCGGGGCCATGCGGCGGGTGGGCGGGGCTTCCGGCCTAGGGACCCGCACGCGCAGAGGAGGTGGGGCAGGGGACGCTGGGATGTCGGGGCGACGCTGCGGACGCCGCTCACCTCGCGCGCCCTTCCTCCCCGCAGGGGTCTGCGGAGACTGGAAGAACCACTTCACGGTGGCGCAGAGCGAAGCCTTCGACCGCGTCTACCGCGAGCAGATGCGGGGGATGCCGACCTTCCCCTGGGACGAGGACCCCGAGGATGCCAGCCCGGACCCCGCCCCCAGCCCCAGCCCTAATCAGGCCTCCGAGCACCCGCATCCGTGACCCCGAGAATAAACGCATCGCTCCTGCCCCGGTTCCTCCATGTGCGATGGCGGTGGCATGCCGCGGGCGGGCGGCAGGGGGCGCGCGAGGCCGGGTGTGGACCCTTCTCCTGCACCAGGGCCTCCTGAAGACCAGGCGCACCCATGCGGAGGGTGACTCAGAAGCCCCATAGCGCTGGCGCCTGACTTCCCAGAGTCAGGGTGCTGCGGCCTGGGCTCCTGGGTCTGAGGGAGGAGGGCTGGGGGCCTGGACCCTGGGTCTGAGGGAGGAGGGGCTGGGGGCCTGGACCCCAGGGTCCCCCACGAGGCTGCGGAAAATGCAAGTGTTTGGCAGGAGGCAGGTTTATTCTGAGCAGAGGGAAAAGGGAGCCCCAACAACTAACCCCTTAGCACCCAGAAAACTGCCCCAGCACCTGCCCAGTCCCCTCTCCAGGGCCCTGAGTCGCTCCCCAGCAGGGGTGTCCCCACCGATCCGCGTCCCTCATCATTCAGCTCAGTCCCCTGGATTGAGGTCTCTCCTCCCCTGAGCCCAGCTCCGTTGCCCACCCTTCTGAGCAGGTGGGCCCCGGGACCCCATGGGGCCCTCCGCCAGGCCTCCCCTCGGAGAAGTCCCCACAGTGCCCGGGCGGGATGTGCAGTTTCTGGGATCCCAGCTCCTCTAGGCTGTGACACTGGGGTCTGGGGTGGGCATGGGACTTGCCCAAGTTCCAGGGTAATTTGGGGGGACACCCCTCCTCCTTCCCAGACTGAGGCCCAGGCACAGCACGGAGGGGGGCTCCCAGCGCCCTGTGGTCCATGCGGCTCTGGCTCCGTCAGGGCCGCCCCCGGAGTCCCGCCCGGGTGGCCCAGCCCGGCGGCCGGCCCCCTCTCGGCTCCAGGGCTTTGGGCGCAGCGTCGTCTCCAAACCTCCTCCGGGTGGGGGACAGGTAGCGGAGGCGGCGGCCGGGGGTGAGGGGCAGGGGGCCGCCCCAGGGCTGGGGCCCGCCCAGGGGGCGGGAGTCCACCTCACCCCTGGGGGCCCCCCCAGTGCCCCGCTGCCTCATCAGGGCCTTGGCTGGGGTGTCCTTGGAGCCCCAGGACTTCTTGAGCTGTGGAGGGAGAGAGGAGGAGGTAAGCAGGGGTTGGGGGTGAGGGGCACTGGGACCAGGGAGGGAGGTGAACACTGGAGGAGGTGAGGGAGATAGACAGTAAGAGGAGGAAGAAGCCGAAACCGGTTTGGCTCAGTGGGTAGAGCGTCAGCCTGCGGACTGAAGGGTCCTGGGTTCGATTCCGGACAAGGGCATGTACCTGGGTCCCAGGCACATCCCCATTGGGGCGTGCAGGAGGCAGCTGATCAATGTTCCTCTCTCATCGATGTTTCTAACTCTCTGACCCTCTCTCTTCCACTCTGTAAAAAATCAATTTATTAAAAAAAATTTATTAAAAAAAATAAAATAAAAGGAGGAAGATGAGACAGAAGAGGGAGGTGAGGGAAGGAGGGCGAGACATGGAGGGGAGTGGAGAAGGCCCCTCAGCTCCAGAACCAGAGGCAAGTAAGCAGGGAGGCCTGGGACCCCCAACTCCCAAGGGGCCAGGAGGTGTGTCCCCCGCATTTGCAGCTGGGGAGGAACAGGAAGCAGCCAGCGCCACCCGCCGGGTGGGGGCAGCAAATATTTGCCAAGGGAGGTGATGCTGGGTGAGGACCAGGCGGAGGTGAGGACCTTGGCCCTGCCCCGCCCCCCCCCCCCCCCCCCCCGCGAGGGAGGCAATTCCTGGGCTGCTTCTCCCTCACCCGCAGCACCGGCCTCCCGGCCTCCGGCTCCACTGAGCAGGTGGGAAACGGAGGCTCAGAGGGGGTACAGCTCTCAGAGATCCCATCTCTCCCACGTGGCTCCGCTCCGAACCTTCCCCCCGAGAAGTGGGGCAGGCCCCGTTGAAACCTGTGTCCAAGCAGGGGGAGAAGGGTCCCCTCCGAGCTCATGACACTGGCATCCGGGAAGCCAGGGCGTGGAGACTGTCAGAGCCCCGCCTGGGAGGCAACCAGGGCTCAGTTCCATTCCTCCCGGTGCCTCAGTTTTCCCATCTGTGAAATGGGTGGATGGGGAGATGTAACGACCTCTGCCTCCTAGGACTGCGGCAAAGGTTGAACATAGCTACTTCTGTGAAAGCGCTTGGCCCGGGGCCTGGCACATGGGAAGGTGCTCAGGAAAGACGGCTGTTTCAACCTTGGCAAGTGACCTAACCTCTCTGGGCCTCAGCTTAGCCATCCGCGGCAATGGGCAGGGTAAGCATCCTGCCTGGCCGACCTGGGATGAGGATGTTGTGAAAGGAATTCCATTTGGGGAGTTTAGTGTTAAGAGCGGGTATTGTTCTACTTCATTCTACCGACTCCCAACCAAACGGAGGATGAAGCTCGGCCCATTTCCTAGATGAGAACACGGAGGTTCAGAGAACACCCCCAACCTGGTTCTCATGGCTGGTAATATCAAGCCGGGATTCAGTCCTGACCGGTTGGCTCAGTGGATAGAGCGTCTGCCTGTGGACTGAAAGGTCCCAGGTTCGATTCTGGTCAAGGGCATGTGCCTTGGTTGCGGGCACACCTAGGGAGTGTGCAGAAGGCAGCTGATTGATGTTTCTCTCTCATCGGTGTTTCTGGCTCTCTATCCCTCTCCCTTCCTCTCTGTAAAAAAGTCAATAAAATATATATATTAAAAAAAAAAAAAAAAGGCCAGGATTCACACCCAGGGCTCTTGGGGTCTCTGCTCCAGGCCACCCGGCACTCCCCTGCCGGCACACAGTGTGGGTTCAGGAAACACAGTGCGATTAGAAACTCTGGTTAGCCAAAACCGGTGTGGCTCAGTGGATAGAGCGTGGGTCTGTGGACTGAAAGGTCTCAGGTTCGATTCCGGTCAAGGGCATGTAGTTTGGTTGCGGGCACTTCCCTGGTAGGGAGTGTGCAGGAGGCGGCTGGTTGATGTTTCTCTCTCATTGACATTTCTAGCTCTTTATCCCTCTCCCTTCCTCTCTGTGGAAAATAAATAATATATATATTAAAAAGAAAGCAAGAAAGAAAGAAAAGCAAGAAAAGCAAGCAAGCGAGAGAGAGAGAGAGAGAGAGAGAGAGAGAGAGAGAGAGAGAGAGAGAAAGAAAAGAAAAGAAAAGAAAAGAAAAGAAAAGAAAAGAAAAGAAAAGAAAAGAAAAGAAAAGAAAAGAAAAGAAAAGAAAAGAAGAAAAAAAGAAACGCGGGTGAGCAGCTTAGCTTCCCTATCTCCCCGAGGGCCAGGCACACAGTAGGTCCTGGGGAAACAGAGTAAGGGCCCTTGAACAAGCAGCACCCTCTCCCCCTCTCGCGGCCCCTAGGCCCCTCCCTCCTCAGCGGCCCTCCTCCTCCTCCTCCTCCTCCTCCCCCTCCCCCTCCCCCTCCTCCTCCTCTCCTCTTCCTCCTCCCCCTCCTCCTCCTCTCCTCCTCCTCCTCCTCTTCCTCCCCCTCCTCCTCCTCCTCCTCCCCCTCCTCCTCCTCCTCCCCCCCTCCTCCTCTCCTCCCCTCCTCCTCCTCCTCCTCCCCCTCCTCCTCCTCCTCCCCCCCTCCTCCTCTCCTCCTCCTCCTCCTCCCCCCCTCCTCCCACCTCCTCCCCCTCCCCCTCCTCCCCCCATCCTCCCCCTCCCCCTCTCCTCCCCCCTCCCCCTTCCCCCTCCTCCTCCTCCCCCCTCTTCCCCCCCCTCCCCCTCCTCCTCCTCTCCTCCCCCTCCTCCTCCTCCTCCTCCCCTTCCCCCTCCCCCTCCTCCTCCTCTCCCCCTCCTCCTCCTCCCCCTCCTCCTCCTCTCCCCCTCCTCCCCCTCCCCCTCCTCCTCCTCTCCCCCTCCTCCTCTCCCCCTCCTCCTCCTCTCTTCCTCCTCCCCCTCCCCCTCCTCCCCCTCCCCCTCCTCCTCCTCTCCTCCTCCTCCTCTCCCCCTCCTCCTCCTCTCTTCCTCCTCCCCCTCCCCCTCCTCCTCCTCTCCTCCTCCTCCTCCTCCTCTCCCCCTCCTCCTCCCCCTCCTCCTCCTCCTCCCCTCCTCCTCCTCTCCTCCTCCTCCCCCTCCCCCTCCTCCTCCTCCTCTTCTCCCCCTCCTCCTCCCCCTCCTCCTCCTCCCCTCCTCCTCCTCCTCCTCCTCCCCCTCCTCCCCCCCTCCCTCCCCTTTTCCCCCTCCCCCTCCTCCCCCTCCTCCCCCCCCTCCTCCTCCTCCCCCTCCTCCCCCCTCCCTCCCCTTTTCCCCCTCCCCCTCCTCCCCCTCCTCCCCCCTCCCCTCCTCCCCCCCTCCCCCCCTCCTCCCCCTCCTCCCCCTCCTCCTCCTCCCCCTCCTCCCCCCCCCCCGCCCTCACCTCGCCGTCGTCGCTGGAGCCGGACAGCTGGGACAGGCGGCTCAGGTCCCACAGGGAGCGGCTGGGCCGGGCGGCGGGGCCGCTGGCCGGCCGGGCGCGCTGCACGCCGCGCAGGATGTCGCTGAGCGCGGGCCCGGGGCCCGGGGCCTCCCGCCGCCCGGCGTCCCGGACGCGGCAGGCGGCCAGGCGCTGGGCCAGCGGGGTCTCCGGGGGCGCGGGGGCCACGGCGCGGCGGCGGGCCACGGCGTGCGGGCCGCGGGCCAGCTGCAGCCCGCCCAGCGCGCTGACGAAGGGGCCCGGGCCCGGGGCGGGCGCCGGCGGCGGCGGGAGCGGCCCGGAGGCCGCGTACAGCGTCCGGAACTCGCGGCTGAAGGCGTCGGCGATCTCCCCGGTCAGCAGGGTCAGCAGGCCGCGGTGCAGGCGGGCGTCGCTCCACGTGAAGCTGCGGGCACGGAGAGGGGCGTCAGGACCTCTGTGCAGCCCGAGATCCGTCCGTCCGGCCCCGACCTGCTCGCAGGGCAGGCCGAGTGACCGTGACCTTCAGGGAAACCCTGCCGCCCTCTGGCCTCAGCACCCCCCTCTGCAGAATGGGCCCACCTACCCCGGGAGAAAGTTAAATTAGCCCACCCGGGTGTAGCTCAATGGGTGAGCGTAGACCCAGGAACCAAGAGGTCACTGGTTCGATTCCCAGTCAGGGCACAGGCCCAGGTTGCAGGCTCCATCCCCACTGTGGGGCGTGCAGGAGGCAGCCGATCAATGATTCTCTCTCATCATGGATGTTTCTGTCTCTCCCTTCCTCTCTAATATCAATAAAAATATATTTTAAAAAAAGAAAGTGAGCTGAAGCCGGTTTGGCTCAGTGGATAGAGCGTCAGCCTGCGGACTGAGGGGTCCCAGGTTCGATTCCGGTCAAGGGCATGTACCTTGGTTGCGGGCACATCCCCAGTAGGGGGTGTGCAAGAGGCAGCTGATTGATGTTTCTCTCTCATCAATGTTTCTAACTCCTCCTCTCCCTTCCTCCCTGTAAAAAAGTCAATAAAATATTTTTTTAAAAAGAAAGTGAAATTGTCATCTGAACTCAGACTTGATTCTAAACCTGGGCTGGCCGGTTCCCACTGGGCTCTGCCTCGGTTTCCCTCTCTGAAACGAGATGGGGTTCCTTTTCTGACTCCCACGGGGACTGTTGTGAGGCTCGGCTGCTCCCTGTAATGACCCCATTTGTTAAGCTCTGGCTGTGTGCCCGCTCCGGCTGCGCCTGCTCCGTGTGCCGGTTGGCTCAGTGGGGAGGCGGAGCTGAAACACAGAAGGATTTGAGCGAGAGAACACGGGGCGGGCTCCCTGCTCGGTGCCCAGCACCACAGGCCTGGGATCTGCGGGGAGCCGTGCCCTTCCCAGTCGGGGCAACACTGTGGTGGCCATCTAAAGCACTGGTCTTTCCCTGGCTGGTGTGGCTCAGTGGACAGAGCATCAGCCTTCGGACTGAAGGGTCCCGGGTTCGATTCCTGGGTTGCAGGCTCGATCCCCAGTAGGGAGGATGTGCAGGAGGCCGCCAATCAATGATTCTCTCATCATTGTTGTTTCTGTCTCTCTCTCTCCTTCTCCCTTCCTCTCTGAAATCAACAAAAATAACATTTTAAACCCTGGTCTTGCACACAGCAGGCGCCCAATAAGTGCCCTCTTTGGGTTTAAATAAACCTGGGCTCCAATCCTGGCTCTAGGGCCTTGGACCCGTCACATGCTCCTCCTGGCCATCTGAGGAAAGGCTGGCACGGGCACTCGGCGGGCGCGGCACCCGGCAGAGCCGACGACGGCCGAGTGGCCGGGCCGGCAAAGGCTGGGCCAAGCGTTCTCACCTTGGGGGGTGGCTGTGACCTCACTCCCCGGCTGGTCTGCAGGCCCACCCGCCCCTCCGATTGTGACACCCTCCCCCACCCAGGGCCTGGCCCCCAGAGGGGCCAGCGGAACCCTACGGGGTCTGTGAGGTCTCCCCATTCCGCTCCACAAAGACCCACTGGGCAGCAGCCGCCGGCTGGGCTCTGTGCCGGGAAAGCTTCTGAGACCCCGGGGCTCCAGACGTGGTCACGGCCACACTCCTGAGAGGGACGCGGAGGGTTGGGACCCGAGGGCGCGCCAGCTGCCGGCCCCGGGAGGCCGGGACGGGGGGTGCCCGTCCCGTGGACATGTGGGGGCCCCCGGGCAGCGCGCTCAGCGGCCTCCTGCTCCTGCTGCTGGCCCTGCCCCCGGGCGCGGGCGGCGCCAAGGACTGCATGTACTGTGAGCTCACGGACACGGCCGACTGCCCCGGCATCCCCATGGCCTGCGGGGACAACGAGGAGTGCTTCGTGGGCCAGGGCACCGCCCAGGACCTCGGCCCCGTCACCAGCAAGGGCTGTGTGGACGCCAGCGAGTGCGGCCGCCAGGAGCCCGTCACCTACCAGGGCGTCACCTACAGCCTCACCTCCAGGTGCTGCGACGGCGACCTGTGCAACGGGGGCCCCCCCACCCCCGCGGGCGGCCTGCGGGCGGGCGCCGCGGCCGGCCTGGCGCTGGGCGCGCCGTGGCTGCTCCAGGGGCCGTGAGGGGCGCGGAGGGCAGGGCCCGGGGCCGGTCTCGGGCTCTGCTGCTCCTGTGCCCTCCCTCCTCCCCCCCTGTGCCCCCATCCGAGGCCAGGGGCCCTGGACAAACGCCCGTGGCCCTGGCTCCATCCGATCGAGACTGTCCCCCGGGACCCAGGGCCCCGTCGGCGGGAGCCTGGCTGCCGGTGGGACCGCGCCCCGGGCCTGGCTGCCACATTGTGCTCGTGGGTTCTAAGACGCGATAGCGCGTCACAGTTTGAGCAGGACGCTTCCTCTCACGGTGGTCCCTTCGCGTCCATGAAATCCGGTAAAAAATTGTATTAATAAACAACCGCTGATTCATTAATAAACAACCGCTGTTGTGTACGAAGCCCCGTTCCGTGCCGGGGTGCCTTCTCCCACCGAGTCTGGTGTGGAGCCGGGAAGCAGGTTCCGGCTGTGGCATCCCAGCCCTGGCCCCGTGGTTCTCTGGGTGTGGTCCCCGGACCGCCTGGAACTCGTGGGCAGTGCCAATCCTCGGGCCCCCGCCCGGGCCGGCTGGACGGGGGTGGGGCCCAGAAACCCGGGTGGTAGCAGGTCCTCCGGGTCAGGCTTGCAGTATGATCAAGGCTACACACCGGGGTCTTTGGCAAAGGGGCTCCGCAGGGGATGCTACCGACATCTGCTGGGCGGAGGCCGGAACTGCAGCCGGCGATGCCAGGAGGCCCCGGACGTGAGCGGTACCTTCGCGGTGAAGCATCACCCTAAAGCAGGGGTGGGAGGCCTTTTTTCTGTCCAGGGCCATACAAGATTCTCAACTTAAAAATCAGCCTGTCTCATCCCGCGTGGCTCAACGGTTCGGCGCCGGGCAGGTCACAAAGGTTCGATTCCCGGTCGGTTGGTCGGTCGGGGCACACGTCTGAGTTGTGGGCTCCAGCAGTGATGGATGCTTGGTGTGCAGGAAGCAGCCGATCAAGATCAATGATTCTCTCTCATCACTGCTGTTTCCATCTCTCTCTCCCTCTCCCTTCCTCTCTCCCTGAAATCAGTAAAACCATACACATTTTTTAAAGCAGCCTGCTAGCCTGGCCGCCATGGCTCTGTGGTTGAGTATTGGCCTATGAACCAGGAGGTCACAGTTTGATTCCTAGGCTGGCCACACGCCTGGGTGGCGAGCTCCACCCCCAGTGGGGGGCGTGCAGGAGGCAGCCGATCATTGATTCTAATCATTGATGTTTCTCTCTCTCTCTCTCTCTCTCTCTCTCCCTCTCCCTTCCTCTCTAAAATTTAAAAAAAAAAAATCAGCCTGCTATATTTGGTCAAATATTTAATTAAATCTCCCCTAATGCCTTGTGCAAGGCAGGGCCACACCAAATGGTTTGAGGGCCTTCTAGGGGGTTCCCCACCCCCGCCCTGAAGTCACTAAGCGGGCCATCCTGGTGAGCAGGGGCACAGAGAGGCGACGCCAGTTGCCCAAAGTCACACAGCCAGTAACTGGCAGGGCTAGGACTTAAACGGAGGCCATCTGTGCCCAGATCCCGCCCCCCCCCCCACCACCACCACCACCATGCTGTGACCCAACAAGGTGGCTGCTCATTATCCACACTCCGAGGGGGGGAGGCCCAGGGTCACAGAGCTAAGAAGTGTAGAGCCAGGGCCCAGGGGCTGGCTGGACCCCAAAGAGAGCAGAGGGGGTCCGTCCGACGGTCCGAGGGCCAAGCCATTGGCACACCAGGTCTCACTCCTCCCCAGACACTCTGAGAGGTGGCGGTACGCACCCAGGCCACCTAAGACCATAATCCAGGCCTGGTCCCCCAGTTTACAAAGCCCTAAGGCCGTGGTCGGCAAACTGCGGCTCTCAAGCCACATGCGGCTCTGTGGCCCCTTGAGTGTGTGGCTCTTCCACAAAAATACCACGGCCTGGGCGAGTCTATGTTGAAGAAGTGGCGTTAGAAGAAGTTTACGTTTGAAACATTGGGCTCTCCGAAGACATTTCAATCGTCGTCCTGTTGCTGTTTGGCTCTGTGGACCAACGCGTTTGCCGACTACTGCCCTAGGCGCACACTGCAGGCCCCGTTCTCCAGGGAGGAAGCAGGTCAGGGGGGTGAAGACGCCCCCAGGCCTGGCTCCCACCCCCGGCCGGGTCCCAGTGACACCCCTCTCCTGGCAGGCGCTCAGACCCGTTTCACAGACGAGGCGCGAGTGGCAGGGAGGGGACCCGCGGGCTCGGAGCCTGGGGCCGGGGCGCGGGGCGCGGGGCGCGGCCGTACCTGTAGGAGCCCGAGAGGACCCGCACGCCGTCCAGCAGCAGGAACTTCTCCCGCAGCCCGCCTGTCACCTGCCGCCGCCAGCGGCTCTGGAAGCTGCAGCCCCGCACCACGCGCACGTCCAGGTTCTGGGAGGCGGGGACACGGCCTTGCTGAGGCTGACCTCCCGGCCTCCACATGGGGGTTCCTCTGGGCTGCACCCCCCCGCCCTCACACTGTGGAGAGTCTGCTTGGCTTCCCCAGAGCCAAGGATCGTGGGATTCAGGATTCCCCCAACTCAGAGGGAGCAGGGACGCTGTGGGAAGCCCAGCTGCTTTCCCCGATGCCACTGGCACCAGAGCCCAGGAACCCTCTCTGCCGGCACCCCCTTGCCGGCCCAGGACCCCGGGGATGGGTCTGCCCCTGCTGCCCCCCACAGGGGAATGGGGACCCGGGTCGCTTCTGCCTGGCCCTACCTCCGTGGCCCAGGGGTTCACGCCCAGCTGCTGGGCCAGCGTCAGGAAGGCAGGCAGCTGCTGGCGGTCCAGGAGCAGGTAGACGGGCACCCAGCGGCGGGTGGCAGCGTCCACCATGTCCAAGAGCAGGTCCGGGTCGGTGAATATGTCCATGACGATGGCTACCAGCTGGGGGGCGGGGGGGAGAGGGGCTGTGGATAGAGCCTGGGGCTCGGGGGACCCTCAGAAGGTGGGGCCCTGGCGGTGAGGTGCTGGAGGGCTGGTCAGCATGCCGACAATGGTGAGCGGGCTCCCCGAACTGGGATGCCTGGGCAGCGCAGTGCATTGTGGGAACCTGCACACCCTGGTCCTGGGGGCAGAGGGAGGGCTGACTTGCTGGGTCAGCAGGGGGGGCTCTGGGGCTGGGGGCGCTGCCAGGGACCTGGGTCTCACAGGCAGAAGGTGTGGCGATGAGCCCTGATTCCTGGTTCAGGTCCCTGCTTGGCCATTCCAGGCGAGAGACCTAACATCCTGTGCCTTAGTTTCCGCTTCTCCTAAATGGACGCAGTGAGCCCCAACCTCAGGGGCCCTTGTGAGAATCGCACGTTAACCCAGGTAAGGCACCTGGCGTGGGAGCTGGCAGACACCAAACCCTTTAAATAAAATCAGGCCGGGGCCAGGGGGCTGCAGGGAGACATCCGGGCCCTCCCTAGGGGTGGAGAAGGGGTGGGTCGATGACTGAGACCAGAGGGATCATAATCGAGTCCAAGGGGCATGGATGCCTAAGGGCACCCAGACCTTGGCTGAGGATGGGGCCCCTCGGATCTCAGAGGCGGAGGATGAGTCTGGGGTGCGAACCTGACAGTCCCCGGAGGCCCTGGGTGAGGATGCCCTGGCCCCGGGGATGTCCCTCCCTTTTGGGGAGCTGCAGTGAGGACGTCGGGGTCTGGGGAATGGACTACATCCCTCCTTCCGCCCCCCCAGGCCCCGTCCCCCACCTTGCAGGCCGCCTGGATCTCCTGGCGCACCAGCTCCTTGAGGGGCGGCTGGCCCTCGCCGGGGGGCTGGGTGTACAGCTGCGCCCGGGTGATGCCCTTCCAGCCCGAGTCCTCCGGCCAGCCCAGCCGCAGCACCGGCACCGGCTCCTCTGACTGGCCGGGCCAGTAGGTCAGGCTGCCGGGGTGCCCGCCGGCCACAGCCCCCTGCTCGCTGCCGCCGGGCTCCGGCTGGGCCGCCGTCCAGTCCTCAGCGGCCGCGGCCAGGCCCTGCAGCTCGGCGCCGCCCAGGAAGGGCCGCAGCCCCTCGCGCTGCACGCACGCCTGGAAGGCCTCGGCGCCCTGGCTCAGCAGAGCCTCCAGCGCCAGCCGCTGCCCCTCCGAGTACAGGAAGCCGGGGCGGGTCTCCGTCAGGGGCGGCTCCCCCGCCTCCGACGCCACTCCTTCCAGCGCTGCCAGCTGGGACGCCGCCATGGGGCGCCCGGGGCGGGCCTCGAGGCCGGGCGTCTGAGGGTGTGGCCGCCTCCGAGGCCCGGACCATCAGGGTCTCTCTCCTCTCCTTTCGGGCGTCCGGGGCCGCTGAGGAATCCGGTGGCCCGCTGTGCAGTCCTGACGGTCAGACTGCGTCCTTGACCGCCCGCCCGATGCTGCTCAGACCCACTGCCCGCCGGCCTGCGGGCGCCATGGCCAGCCGGCCATCCGACCTCGCTGCCCGCTGTCTGACGATCTGGCTGCCCCCACAGGTGGTCCTGCATGTGGGTCTGGCCGAGTACCTGGCACTGTCTCCAAACCCAGCGACCTGTCAGCTGCCCGTCTCTGCTCCAGCGCACGGCAACCTCCAGCCTGCTGGCCGCACGGCGATGCCCGGGCCGGCCCTCCCGCTGGCTCCGCGAGGTCAGGCTGACCACCCACCTGCCCTGGCCCACGGCCCACTAAGGCCTGGCCGTCTCCAGGCAACAGGCTGCCTGCCTGCAACCACCCAAACGTCTGCCTGACCCTCTGGCCTCTCTTCAACCGGCTCAGGGTCTGACCACCCGGTGGGACTCCCGGCTGTGTCCAGGGGACGCTTCTCCCGGCAGCTGGCCGGCTAGCTCACAGCTCTCACAGCTGACCATTCAGTTTCCTCCTGAGCCCAGGAGAAGTGTGCTCCAGCCCTCAGCCTGGGCATCGCCCTTCCCAGCCAGGGAAGTAGGTCTCCTCGGTGGACGGGCCTTCACTTCTGCTCAGGCTGCTGCAGTGAAGGAATCGCTCCACAGGGGGTCTTGTCACGATCGAGCCCACCCATGACCTCCTCAGCCCGTCCAGCCTGAGGGCAGCATTGACAGGGCCCGGGCTCCTGGGACTGGGGGCCCCTGCCGGTCCTCTGATCTCTGCTGACCCCTGGCTCTGGGGCCTGAATTCCACGGTCTCCTGCTAGCTGACCACACTTAGGCCTCGTGAAAGTTGGACAAGGACCACTCTACATCATTTGAGGCTCCTGACCCAACCTGTGGACCCCAATTCGGGCAACCCCGCCTTCCAATCCCAGCACCCAGATGCCCCCCTCCTCCAGGGCACAGCGACTGGCCCTGCAAGAGAAAGAGGAATAAATAGAGGTGCCCTCCCGCTCCGGCCCCCGCCAGCTCGCCCCCCCGGCCCCTGCACTTGCCTTTGTGGGAGGACAGTAGAACCGGGGCCCTCCAACCTGAGCTTCTTCCTGCGTCTTCCTCCGGCAGACTGGCTCATTCATCAGGCTTCACCCTGGCGTCCTGGGAACCCAGCCCCTTGTGTAAACACGGGGAGGGCCTGCGCAGGCCCGGGGCAAGGGGCCCAGGGAACGAAGTCCCAACCCAGGAGCACTCGCCAGGCTGCTTCCCAGAGGCGAGTGGCCCGCCAGACTCAGGTTTCAGGAAAGGGGGTGCCTCACCTGCCCCCACAGCAGCCCCACCTCCACACTTCCCGATCCCAGCCCGCCCATAGCTTCAGTGCTGGGGTGGGGAACCCGGGTCCTTTAAGAGGGGTGTGGCCAATCCCGGGAAGCAGGTGCTCAACACCCGACACCCGGCTCCTGGGAAGGAGGCGGGGCTTCCGCAATAGTGGGCTGCAAGGGTCCGACAGGTGGAGGCCCAGCAGAGCTGAGCACAGACCTAGGCCGCCAGAGGGCGCCCGCAGGCCGAGGCGGAAGGAAGGCTGGCGGAGGAACACCTGGACGGGGGCGGGGCGAGTCTCCATGGAGACCTGCGCCGGTGTCCAATTCCCCAAAACAAATGCCTTCTGGCCCACAGGCTCCCGTCCCAACTCCATCCCCCAATAACACACACGGGACCAGGGACCATCAGCGTCCAAAACCTCTTTAATAACATGACAGGATTCAGGGTTAGTTTTTGTAGCCGCGGCTGGCCCGGCGGCCTCTTGCACGCTCGAACTTCCGGCCCTTGGATCGCACGTAGGGTCTGCGGGGAAGAGAGAGGTCAGGGCCGATTGTAGCTGGGAACTCCGCCAGAGATGCTGCCTCCGACAGAGCAGCAAGGACACGGGGAGGTGGCGGTGGGGGGGCTCAGTAGTGATAGCAACCGGGCTGCTGGCAAAGCCTGGCAGTGCAGGAAGCCACGATGGCAATGTGGTGGGGAAGCCAGCGCCAGGCCCTGGGGGCGGGTGGGGTACAACGCAGACCCCCCTGGGAGATGCCAACTCAGCCTAACCAGCTGCACCTGCAACACCAGCTGCGCAGGGAGCGCACCCCCAGGGGCACAGCTTTGGGCCTTGAAGGTGAGTGGGCAGGGCGAGGGGGAGCTGTAGGGAGGCCTGAGGCTGGCGGTGTGGGAAACAAGCACGGCCCGGACTGCACTGCGGGAGCCGGTCGGAGGCACAGGCCGGCATACTCACTTGGTGTGGCTGTGGGGGGTTCCGGGGGCCTTGCCGAAATGCCTGTACACCTCGCGGCCCTTGCGAGGACCTGGGGGAGGGAAGGAAGGGGCAGGTCAGGCAGACCCAGCACCCAGAGCTCCGGGCTCGGGCTGATGGGGTGGGGGTGAGGGGGAGTCCCAGTCTGTCAGCAGTCACACTGCTCACCCCCCTCACCCGGGGACAAGGCTCCGCCACGGAGACTCGGCGTCGCTCACCAGAAAGCAGGACAGTGCCACAGCCCTTGGGGGAGTCCAGGGCCAGCTGGTCGAAGGTGAGAATCTTGCCCCCAGCCTTGAGGATGCGGCTCCGGGCACGGCTGCTCACGCGAAGGGCACACACCTGGGGACACGGGGGACAGGTCCAGCCAGAGCTGCATGGCCGCCCAGGGGCTGCTGGGACTTACAGAGAAGGCCTGCTGTTTGCTCAGCCCTGTAACTAACTCCTTAACTAACACAACAGCTGTTCGCATCACGTTGCTTCCAGCAACTCCTTTGAGAATGCCGCAATGCAAAGCCATTCCGCCTTAAGGAACCCGAGGCATAAAAAGGTTTAGGGCCTCAGTGGGTAGAGCACGGGCCCTCGGACTCAAGGATCCCAGGTTGGATTCCAGTCAAGGGCACATGGCTGGGTTGCAGGCTCAATCCCCAGCATGGGGAATGCAGGAGGCAGCCGATCCATGATTCTCTCTCTCATCATTTATTTTTCTATCTCTCCCCCTCCCTTCCTCTCTGACATCAATAAAAAACATATTGAACAGCCGGAACCGGTTTGGCTCAGTGGATAGAGCGTCGGCTCGTGGACTGAGGGGTCCCAGGTTCGATTCCGGTCAAGGGCATGTGATTTGGTTGCGGGCACATCCCCGGTGGGGGGTGTGCAGGAGGCAGCTGAACGATGTTTCTCTCTCATTGATGTTTCTAACTCTCTATCCCTCTTGCTTCCTGTGAAAAACCAATTAAAAAAAAAAAAAACTTATTGAACAAAGCCAATCCATAATTCTCTCTCTCATCATTTATATTTCTCTCTCTCCCGCTCCCTTCCTCTCTGAAATCAGTAAAAAACGTTGAACAAAGGAAAGGCGGCTTAGGACTTTGTTCAGAGATGACAAAGTGACAGAGAAATCTACACCGGAACCCAGTTGTCTGGCTCCAGAGGGGCTTGCCCAGGGACGCAGGCCTCACCCCCACTCAGAGCCCCTCCCCACGCACCTTCAGTTTGGGCACCTCCTGGATTCTCACGTCATCAGTGATCGTCCCTACGACCACGGCGGTCTTGCCCTCACGGCCAGGAAGCTTCATCTTGCGGATCTTTGGGGGAGGAGACACACATTAAGTCCCGACTGGGGTTTGAATCCAACCCCGCAGCTTCAGGCAACCAAGGACCAGGACAGCTGGCCCTAAACCCACCCTCAACCTTCTCAAACTGGCATAGGCCTAACCTCAGGCTCAAGCACATTTCTCAACAGATGCCCGCCCCATGATGAACCCATGAAGCCACTGAGCCACCCCACCTCACAAGAAGGAAAACAGGGCCAAGCCACCCTCCTTCCCAGAGCCCAGCTCCTGACACGATCCAGTTGCTCCCCAGGCTGTGTCCCCCCGGCAGACCCTCACCATCCGGGAAAGGGACAGCGGCGGCCGGTTGGTGCGACTCATGAACAACCTCTTGAGCACCACTTGGTTGAAAGTGGAGTTGGTTCTTCTGGCCAGAAACCTGTACAGCTGGAGGGAAAGGGGAAAGGAGAAATGAGAATTCCCAGGCCGCTCCCCTCCCTCTCAACTTCCTGAGGGCAAACAAATGACTTCTGGCTTTCTTCTATCTCGGTGAGCTCCAGGGAGAGCCAGCCCAGGTTCATCCTGCTCAGGGCCCCACCCCCCCAGCTGTATACAGCACAGAAGCTGGAAACACTGAACTTGCAGAAGCTCTGAGAAGTGAGTCTGGGGCGGCATGAGAAGGAAAGCCCTGGACATTGCAGGTTTGGGGGTGGCCCTGCCCCAGGGTCACAGGCCCCCCACCCCACCTCACCTTGACCAGCAGCCTCAGGTAGATGTCCTGGCTCTTGGGCTCCTTGCGCCGGACCTTGCGGTCTTTGTTGTGACGGATGTCGACTCCCTGCAGGGTGAAGGGGAGACCATAGACCCCCTTGTGATCTGCAGGTTACTCACCCCGCGGACACGCTCAATCACTCCCTATCTCCCAGAGAGAGCGAGAGCCCCTGGCTCTGCGGAGACAACAAATCCCAGGTCCGCCCCTGGGAAAGTCGCTTCAACCCCCTGGACTTCCAATGGCTCCCCTGAAAAGCCTTTAGCGTGACCCCCAGCACCTTGGGAAGTTTTAACACAGTAGCCACGTTAACTCAAGTCAACACTTTTATTTCTTTGTAAATTAACTTTTTTTTTTTTGGCAAATTAACTTTTTCAACAACGCTGCTCCCACACTTGGGAGAATGGCTGAAAATATTCACACCAACGGCAGGCGCTAAGAACGAACCTTTACTGAGAAGATTCCCACTTTAGCGTTAAGAAAACCCAGTAAGGCCCCCCTTCCCACGACTCCCCCCGCCTGGTTTTGTGGTTTCCTTTCCAGACTGTTATGAATTTTGAAGAACGACTTGACAGCTCCCTTTTAACCAACACTTATGTACGAGTCGATGGGCTCTTTCCAAACTGGAACCCGAGAGAGGCGGGATTACTGTGCGCCCGTGAACACGATGGAGCAAGTCGGGCACAGGCTGGGAAAGCCAGATCGCAGGGCGGGCAGGGACCCTAGACTCTCAGGGAGGCCTGCCTGTCTCAAAGCCCGGGTACGGGACGCGCGACAACCCCCAGAGCCCAACTTTTCAGGCTGGGGAGTGACAGGTCCGGGCAGGGGCAGCAAAAAGGCCGGAGACTGAATGGCTGTGAGACCAGTGCCTAGAATCCTGGCTCCAGGGATGTGCACGATACTGGAGCGCAGAGGAGGCACACAGGTCTCTGCATTTTGACGGCGGTATCCCTTAGCCACCTCGTACAATTCGGGCATCGACTCAATGGGAGCTATAATGGAAAAATTCGGGAGGGATGGAGGCTGGTAGGACTGACGCATCCCTGCACTTCGGGGGGCCCCTAAATAGC